TTTAGCCAGTCAAAACAGGGGGAAGATCCAGTGCCCTCAAGTGACTCAGTGGAGGGAAGACGTACGTACGGGTGGTCGCAGCTCATCAAGCTGCTGCTGGCCTTGCACAAAAGGGGGGATCCTGATCAAGCTGACCCCTAAGCACCCCACTTGATATTGGAAAGCACCCCTAAAGCTCTGCACTGTTACATACTGATGCATCCTTAACAGGAGCTAGCCAGGATCGAGAGGGGTTCTCTGGCTCCTGACAGGATGCCAGGGCCAGAGGCAGATGCTACGGGGCAATGCAAGCCCCACTGCCTCGGGGAAGCAGGGTCCAGCACCTCCAGTACCCCACTGCAGGCAGCACAGCTGAGGTCATGCAGAAGGAAAAATTATTCCCATGGGCCATCCACACTGCCGTGCCCAGCTTGGGCTTGTAACTGTGTTTTTGGTCACAGGAACTCGCTACCAAGCCCAAGGTGGGGTGGGTTACCCGCTGCACCTCATTTTCTCCTTGAGAAGAGCCATGCAACTGCCCCGAGCCTCCTGCACCTCCTGTTTCTGGCATTAGTCAGCAAGAGGTTGAGAAATCCTGCTTCTCTGACAAACCCCAGAGGACAGAGCCTGGCAGAGGAATCCTCTTCATAATCCCATTTACCTTCTCCCTGCCTGTGCTGTGTTCAACCAGACCCCATGGGGATTTATGCATTTCCAGCTGCAGATTTTGTCTTAAATGGTCAAATTGCATCCATTGTGGACGTGCTACAGATCTACCGGGTGACAGCCCCTGCCTTGTAGGGGTAGGACAGCTGCTCACTGGCACCTGAGCACGCCAGGGCACTTCTGGCAACTAATGGCAGTCACAATATTTTATTTTACCTGATTTACAGTTTCAAAGAGGCTCAGCATCCCCAGCAGTGGGACTCGGCCTTGCTGGCACTCAGATCTGAGTGCTTCAGTACTTTTTACTGGCAAAATGGGGAAAGTGGATGATTTTCGAGCTGTCCTCATCAGAGCTTCAGCCCTGAGCTCCCAGTGTGCAATGAAGTGCAATCAGCCCAGCATGAAGCTGCTCAGCCTGGCCATTCCTAATGGCAGAGCTGGATTTAACGACGCCAACAAATGGCAAAGAAGCATTGCCTCTGGCTGCTGGACCAGTTACTACTGTTTTAGAAGGTTCACGAGCTGGTTTATAAGGGCAAGCTCCTTAAGTGAGACTGCGTGCTGGCACTTGTGCAACCAGGTTGCTGTACGGCTGCGGCTTTTCCCCGTGCTTGAGGCTGGGGATGTTTCTCGCAGGTACAACCCAGTTGTGAGCAAGTGGATGGCGTCCAGGCATCACTTTGAGATGTTTTGGGTTCTGCTGGCCATCGAGCCTCCCACCCGCGGGTATTTTGGTCGTCTCCTCTCCCTGCCACTCTCCCACCACCCAGCACCCCTGCACCCAGGCGATAGCGATGCAGAGATGACGGCGTGACCATATCGCCCGGCTGCAGGCGAGACGGGTGCTGCCTGATTAACGCCACGCCAGTTTGGGAGGCGATGGTCTCCCAGTATCCCGGGATGACAGGATGCTCCTGCACGCCTGATCTGCAGCCAACAGAGCCTTGAGGTGGGGGCAGCTCGCCAACATGTCAGGCACCCACACGTTTCACCCGCTCTTACATGACACATTTATCGGGGTCAGCAGCCCCTGGTTAGGAAGGGAAAAAAACCCACACCATATGGACAAACCAACCCAAACAAACACAAGATACTGAACCTTTCAGGGAAGGGGCTGGCCAGCCACATGCACCCTTCCTCAACCTCCACTTGGCTCTGGTGCCCTGCTTTTGGGGGTTTCCTCCTCCAAGAGTAGGTATAACCACATAGACTGTTGTTTCAGTGGTTGTTTTTTCTAAAAGCCATGCACACAATCCCCAGTCTGTGACACCATGCCCTGAACCCCACTTTTTTTCCTCTCTTTTCCTGGTCTTTACCAATCCCTCAAGGCAAGAACCAGCCTCTGTAGCTTGGAAGCAGTTGCCCTGAGCTGCTCTATCCCCTCTTTCTGAACTCTCCCAAACTCCACAGCAAGAGCCACGTCCTGCTGGGAGGCCGAGGGAAAAGCCTGGATCTTGGGCAGTGCAAGAATGGGAGAGTTTCTAGGCTAGAGGCACGAGGCCAAGCATCAGCAAGAGCAAGCCCTGGCTCTGCGCGGGTGCAACAGGGAGCTGCTGAGCTCAGCACCTTGCCTCTTGCACCATCCACTGGGTTGTCCAAGGGCGTCATGCACACGATGAAATCATAGAATCATAGAAGGGCCTAGGCTGGAAGGGACCTTAGAGATCATCTAATCCAACCTCCCTGTCATGGGCAGGGACGCCTCCAAACCAGATCAGACTATTCGAGGCTCTATCCAGCTTGGCCTTGAACACCTCCAGAGAGGGGGCAGCCACAATGTCTCTGGGCAATTTATTCCAAGGTCTTGCCACCCTCATACTGAAGAATTTCCTGGCAACCCAGTTTTACCAGAATTTGTGACTCATGAAGCGGCTTGCCTTACCTGAGGAAAGCAGTCGCCGTAGCTTTGCCCCTGCATTTGCCTTCACCTCCCAGCCCTGGGGGCCACTGATGCCATGATGAGGTTATCACACGCCAAGTGAAAGCGTGCTGCCCTCTCTTTGCTGTGGCTGCCACCACATCCTTACACTCCACTACCATCCCCAGGTCTTGCAGTATTCCAGCCTCCCAGCTGATGCATCCATTACCTCCTTCCAAGGGTTCTCCTTGACCCCTTCATCTTCCCCTTTTCAGATGACACCTCCAGCCTTGGCATGAGCCTGCAATTAGGGCTCTTCCATAATTGCCAGCAGCCTCTCTGCAGAGCAACAGCTCAGGTTTACATTGGGATGGGGCTGAATGAGGAGCAGTCACCCTCGGGTCCTTCATCCTGCCACAAAAGCCACACAGTTCATCCAAAAAGAGGAGGAAGAATGTGTCTGAGATGCCTCTGACCTCCCCCAGGATCTACATGTACCATTTACTCTGCCAGTAATTTGCAGTGCCATCTGCCTCCCTCCACCACCCCCAGTACTGGATTTACTAACACAGCCCAGGCACAGCTCTTACTCCGTGGGGCTGAGGGTCCACATGGGATTTTCGGTGTGGTGAAGCAGATTATTTCCTCCCCCTAACCTGAATACAGAGCAGACAGCTGGATAAAAGCAGTGCAGGGCTCCTTTCCTCTCTCTGGCCAGGGGCTGGGAGTGTTCCTGCTGCTTTCCCTCCCCAAATCCAGAAAGAGAGAAGATACAGGTCAGGATGCCCTAAAATCACACAGGAACCAGGAAAAATGACCCACCACACTGCACTGGGTTAGGGTCCACATGGCAATCCTTGCCCTGAAGGAAGACACTACTTTTCTCAGAGAAAGGGAAAATTTTATTAAGTTAAAAGTTGAAGGGCACAGCAGAGCAACAGTAGCTGCCACCTTGGAGGGGATGGCTCCAGCGGGTGCAGTAGCAGCCTCACAGCTCCCCTTCCCCAGAAAGGAGAAGCCCCATGGCTCTGAGCTCCTGCCAGTTCGGGTTCCTGAAGGAGGCAAAGGCCAGTCACAGAGAGAGCTTGATCATGCAGACTCTTGCCAAGGTCTCCTCTTTCAAAAGTCCCAGGCAAGCACATCCACAGCAGACTGCCCCGGCGGCTCCCTCCTATGGCTTGCATGTCTTCTCCGCAGGTCCCTGGGGGTGGCATGTGAGAGGAAGTGCAGTCCTCGCCATATATCCCAGGGGGGCCACAGAAACATTTGGAAGAGAAGGAATACGTGCCGAAGGTGGCTGTGTGGCCGGGAGCAATGGGGCTGGGGAGCAGGGGGGAAACCAGATTCTCTTTTTTCAGGTTAGAAAATGCTGGTGATGTAGCAAAAGTTTTCCCCTCTCCTCTTCCCCTTCTTCCCGGGGGGTGAAATTCCTCTATAAAATATAATTTTCACATACAAAATCCTGAAGAAGGTGCATGTAAGGAGCCAGTCCAAACAACGTGCTCAGGTACACAGGCAAAAAGGGTTCATCAAAAAAGCTTTGAGAGGGGAGTAAGGAGGTTGGAGGGGGTCTGGAATTCTTTGCCAAGGTGATAACGGATGGGATTTAACCTTCCTCTCCCCACAAGTGAGGAATGGAGCAAATACAAAACAAGAACAGATAAACAAACGAAGAGTAGACCTAGAGAGAGAGACAAAACCAGAAACGGTTCAGAAAGACTCTACCGAGTGCAGAAATGCCATTCCTTCTGCCCCACCCTGCCTGGTGCCCTGCTACAGACCCACTCCTCTCAGTGCCCTCCAGCAAGCGGTCAGAGTGGGGTGACCCCAATCACAATGGCTACAGCATCCAAGCAAGAATCAGAAGAGCTCTTGACAACAGAACGTCCTCACCCCCTGCTTCCCTCCCCGCCTGCAGCAGGGAAGCCCGCAAGCGAGCGTGGGAGGAGGGCTGGGTTTAGTCAGGGCTGCTTTTATGCAGACCTAAAATTTCCCTGCTGTGATAGGTAAAACCACTTCAAAGGCAAACGCTGCAGAAACGTCACCTACATAAGTAGTGCCTAACGGCCCCCATGCTGTCACGCAAGCCATGGGGCAAAGGTCAGCATGTGGGCAGCTCCCAGCTCCAGCCTGGTGGAGCAGTGCTTGGTGCTGGCTGCAGATGCATCAAGAGCAGCACAGAGAGAAGGGGTCTCGAGAACCTTGGGAGATCGTCAAAGACAACAGGAGGGCCAGGGGTACAGGACGAGAGGATGTAAGAAGCAGAGAAGGAAGACCTAGTTTAGTGGTGCTGATAGGGCTAGGACAAAGGTTGGACTCGATCTTGAGGGTCTCTTCCAACAGAAACCGTTCTATGATTCTGTGACTTTAAGCCTGAAGTTTCAGCACTGCATGGAGCACGAGGAACTGACAGCTTCCATCCCTCTACCAAAGCGGGGCAGCTGGTCTCGGCCACCTGCACCCATGGGGGACATCCCAGCATCCCTAGTGCTCACCGTTACTCGCTGATGCTGTTGCACAGTGACTCCTTCTCCTGCAGAGCTGCCATGGCCAGGCGCAGGTGCTCCTTCAGCTGCTCGATCTCTCGCTCCGAGCGCACCTTAATGTGATTTAGCTCTGCATAGACATCTTGGTATTTCCCTGAGGCAAATCTCTTATCCTGCCAGGGGAAGGAAAAGGGGTCAGCAGGTTTTAAGAGTCAATATTAGGGAGAGATGTGGCAAGGCAAGCCCAGCAGGAGAAGGGCCAACAGGTGAGGAGAGCCAGTCCTGGTTTGAAGCTCATCCCAATCCAGGCCATGCAGAAACCATTCAAAAGCCTAAACTCTGGGCTGGTGAGGAAGGCAGAGTTGCTAGTCCTGCAGCACTGGGGATCTGTAGCAGCAGACTGAAGAAGTGATGTGGGCTTTACCACAGCTCATGTGTGTTTGGGCCAGCCATACGGGAAAAACAAACCCCACCAGAGATGCAGGCCACTGAAAGGGCCAGTCCCAGCCACTTATTTGCAAAAAAGCCTAAGAGAGAAAGTTATAAACTCCGAGGGCATCGCTCAATCTCGAAGCCTCTTTCAGGTTCCCCTTTGGCAGGGGTCTTTGAAAACCACTCTGAAGGAGCTGCTGCCAGTGGAGGGAGCAGCACACCCAGCAATGGTGCCCAAGAAAATATGTCCACCAAGTGAGGTGACATCTAAGGGAACAGAAGGCAGCTGGGGAAGCGGAGTGCTGGTCAGGCTTCTTTCTCGTCTGGGAAAGAAGAGCTACTGACTTGTCCATGCTTATATGTACGTACATCTGGGGAAATGGGCAGGAAAGTCCTCATGACATTTCCCTTGTACAAGCTAAGTCTACACCAGCCTGTGCTGTTTGGAGCACACAGCTGCTATGTGTCCAGGAGCAAGCAGGGATGAGGAGCAAAGGTGACAAGAGGGTTTGGGCCTGAGGATCCCACCTAACTGAGCCAAACTCTGCTGACATCCAGTCTTGGTGCTTCTCTCCCTCCCCTCTTCTGCTGCTTTCCCAGAAAACAGCTCCCAGAAAACACCAACCTTTTGCATCATCTGCAGCTCCTCCCGGAGGCACTGCACCTCTTTCTTTACATACTGGAGCTCGTTCTCCTTCACCCGCAGCAGCACCTGGGCCAGGAAGGGAGCAGAGGAACAGACGTGACTCACGAGCCACCGCCTCGGAAAGGCCAGTGAGCCCTGGCGCAAGCGCTGTGGTGGAAAAGGAAGGAAGAGCCAGGAGGGCCGGGGCAGGAAAAGGCGCAAGCAGCCCGGGAGAGTGGTGAAGGGAAAGCTTGCGTACCTGCTTCCTGCACCGGCCCTGCTGCCTCATCCGGCATCTCCCTCCAGCCTGCTCTGAGCCTCCGTGAGGAGGAGACCCCCTAACACAGGGCAGGAATGGAGACAGCGGGGCAACCCCGCGGGGACCCTCGTACCTCCAGCTCGCAGGAGCTCCTCTCGTTGTTGTGTGGAGAGCCGTCCCTAGAGCTCCACGACGAAATAAAGCTTCGCAGCTTCCCAATCTCATCCGAGAGGCGGGTCTGGAGCTCCTGCAGGCAAACCCAAGAGAGCTCAGAGTAGCCACGGCACAGGCCTCTCTGCTGTCCCAACCCCTCCACCTTCATGTCAGTCCTACTCCAGCTTAGAAACCTCCTTGTAACGCCCTGCCCACAGGTGACTGTGGCACCTACAACCAGCAGAATACACTCATCATATTTAACACTGTAGTTAAAAACAAGCCTCTAACATAGGTGGGTTTTTTTTTTCATTTCTGATGATAAAAATCTCAGAAGGGAAGAAATATGAATAGGTGAGTTTTAACAGAGGGGCTGTGCTGTGTGAGGGAGGAATGGGCTCTGTGGTCTCTGCTGGCAGGGAAAGCCCTGCTCTTGCCTGGTTTTTCCGGAGGAGCTCCTTCCCCTCCTGCTGACAGCGCTGCAACGTCTGCTCCCGCTCCTCTGCTTTCTGAGTGAGCTCCCCGATTTCCAGGCACTTTTGGGAATACTGCTCAGAAAGCACCTGCAGCTCCCGCTTCAGGGAATCCACGTCCAACCTGCCAAAGAGGAACCTACTCAGAACTGCCCCACAACTGTTGCTGGTCCCTAACCACCAGCATCACCTTCCCCTCTCCTGTGAACAGCTTCTGCCATGGCACAAAATAATGTTGCCTGGGGACCAAGGCTGCAACTCCCACCCTCTCATACACAGCCACGGTGTTTCTAAGAGCTTCAAGCCATGCAAGAGAAATGGAGGAGCTTCCCATAAATAAAATGGAAGGAAAATGCCACAGGGAAAACCAGAGGTGCTGTAGTGAAAGTAGCCAAGCAGGGGATAAAGCTACTTGCCCTACGGCTCCAGCAGCCTTGGCAGCCACTGCTGGGCACCCACAGCCCCTGGCGAAGGAGCTGGGGAGGTGGCAGGGAACGGCTGGGGGTTATGGTTGCAGACGGGGTGCGGTGACACTGGCACAAGGCAGCAGCATTGGGTAAGGGGAGCAGTAGAGGTGGTTTCTTACTGGTGCTGCTTCTGGAGGGCATCTGAGATCGAGCCACATTGCTGGAAGCTTCGTGTCCTGCCCAGCTCCTTATTCATCTCCTCCCGGTGGGCTTTCTTCAGTGCCTCGATGGCTGCAGAGGGAGGCAATAAGAGATGGGGAGTCAGGCTGTGCCAGCTCTGGCACATCTGGGGAAACCACACCAGCAAACTGGCTGAGCTCTTGCCCCTGTAGGTCTTTGCAGACTCCCCCTCCTTCCCTTCTGCCTTCAGAGCATCCCCCGCCTTTTCCACACCCCAGGATCATCCGGATGCACCAAATGCTGCAAAGGAGACTAACATAGGGCAGTGTGGGAACTCCCTGCCACCGCTGCTCACCTACAAGAAGGTGCTGCCCCCTCCCCGCCATCCGCGGAAGCAAGACCTCATTTTCCACAGCATCTTTAACATCCTGCCACTCCCTTTCCCAGCCCAAGCAGTCCCTGAAGCACAGGTCTGAGGAGCACCAAGCTCACACTCCAAGGAGCATCAGCCTCACACCAGTAGGGTCAGCAGCGTGGCTCCAGATGACTGGGATGACTGGCAAGAAACAACTTCAAGAGGTGGAGAGGACCCACCTGAGTGGGGGCATGACTTGATGTCGGCTCCTACCTGCTGCTGTCGCCGCTGCCTCCTCTGCCAGGAGCCGCTCCTTTTCCTGCCGCAGCCGCTCCATCTCCCGCTGGTGGTGCCTCTGGAGCTCCTCCATCACTTGCTGGTGAGATGACTCCATCTCAGCCAGGCTGCGCTCGCAGGCCTCCTGCCGAGCCGGGGAAAAGGGAGGGGTGAGGGATCAGGAGGGCAGGAGGAAGGGTTCAGGCCAAGACAGGCATCTGGGCTGGGCTGACGTTTGCCTTTGCAAACCTCACTCGAGTCCAGAGGCATTTTGAGAGAAGTGAGGCCGTTCCCCAGAAAGGTCTTTTCCTTCTGAAAAGTGAGGTGTCGCTTCTGTCACTGAACACAACCATTTGTCAGGACCATACATTCTGCAATCCCCACACTTTGAAGAAGAAACATTCCTCCTGGTCTCCTTAAAAGCTTAGCAGGAAGACAGGAACATCCCTCTTGGGCCAAAAGCTGGGAATAACCAACCGAGAGCCCAGTCCAGACCCCGCATCAGGCTGCACTGTCTGGCTGGAGGAGATCAACAGCGGGAACTACATCTCAGGATCTGCCTTTTAAATGAAGCAGCATCCCCTGGAATCAATGAAAACTGAGCCTCTTTTCCTGAAAAGTGACACCCTGCACTGCCCTGTGGCCTGATATAGGCTGTCAATGAGCCCTCCCCAAAGCCTCATGGTTAGGGATCCTCCTTACACTACTCATCCTCCTTTCTGATGCCTCTGAGACCAAGGGGATGGTTCTTTCAACACGGAGCACTGTGGCTAAGTGGTGTTGCAGCAAAATAAAGCTGTTTCCACCTCAGAGCTACACCTCCGCTCTCCCTCCAGATGCTGGCAGCACTGCCTCAAGCCCCTCAAGAAGGATTTGTTCCACCACCAAACCACATCAGAGTATTATTTTAAAAAGCCAAGGCCCCTAAGACTGCAGTAGAGAGCCAGGAAGCCATTGCATTCCCCAACAGCCCCTTGCCATCCCATTCCTTTCCCCAAGACTAAGGCAAAGGCTGATATAAGACTAGGTACCTTTAGAGGTCCTTCCCAACCCAACGCATTCGGTGATACAAAGGGTGAAGCAACATGTTGTGGGAATGTAAGTCCTTGCTGGCTTCCCTCGTCCCTTGAGACAAGGGAAGCTGGGAAGCTTCACAGATTAACCAAAGGAGAGGAAAAGGTGAGGGATCAATTTGGTGATCTGTCCATGGACTGGCTGCAAACCTCAGCCAACTGAGAACAAGCCCTTTGGAGAAAGGCCAAGTTTGGCCTTGGATGTGAAGCACTGGCCTTTTGAGCCAAGTTATTAGGAAGATAAAGTGCCATTCCTCCCCACTCCTTTTTTTTTTTTTTGACCATAAAGAGGCCTGTGAGCTGTAAATACTAAATCAAGATGACAAGAGTGACCAGTAAGTGGCTGAGCTGGGCATCATGGGACTTGTGGGTTTCTTTATCTGGGCTAGGTACAGCCAACCTGCTGCAACAGGCTTCACCAGCCCAAATTTCCTTCCCCAGCGGTATCTTTCAACACACAGGGCACATTCTGAAATCCCCAGAGTGTGGTGGAACAGCAGCCTCTCCCCAGTAAATCCCTGAGGGATGTGACCCCGCTTACTTTGGACAAGTCCATGTGGGGGGAGAATAAACAAACAAAGAGAAGCAAGAGGCTGATGTGTGAGCAAACTCTGCTTTGCAGGCTTTCCCACGTGCTGTCCCAGGAAATGAACGGGTTGTGCTGTTCAAATGACCTTCAGGGCTCGGACAGACTCTGGCAGCGACGGGAGCTCCCCAGGGCCTGAAGGATTGCTTTTAACAGGGGATTCACCAGCCCGTTAGCAAGAACCACATGTGGCAAGTTGCAAACTGCCGAGGAAAGTGTGGGCGGCTCAGCCTAAAGCTGCTGACCCACTCCCGAGCTGGGAGACAGCATCACACCCACACACAAAGAGAGACACACATCCTGTGACACTCTCCTCCTCCTCCTCCCCGTTTATACTCTGGCCCCTTCAACGCCAGGCAACACACATGAGCTTTTATATAATTAACATTGATTAAAAGCGGGCCCAGTTAGGGTCACCATGACAACGCAACGATTAGCCCTACCTGCTCCTCAAGGAGCTGAGTCCCAGCATTTCGCAGTTTGGGACTGGGAGTGACTCCAGGGTCCCATGTCCAGTGCCCTGCTCACCTGTGAGATGTACCCCCGGGGCACGTGGCCATCTCCCTGGGATTTTGCTGCTTGCTGAAGGCTCTCATTTCGGGCCCGGCACGACTCCAGCTGTGCCCGCAGTGACTGGACCTGCGCCAGGGAGGGGAGAGAGATGCTCAGCCAGGGGTGGAAAAAAGTGCCACAGCCCAACCAATGTGTTGCATCCCAACCCCAGGCTTAGGGATGGGGAGGACCGTGATGGCCAGAGGAGATGTGTGCTTCCCACAGGAATGGCAGTCTGCCAAGGGACTAAACCAGCAGTCAGCCCCAGCCTGGCAGGCTCTGGCAAGGAGAGGAGAAGACAACCCAACTTCCAGAGGTCGATCTGTGCTGGAGGAAACCACCACTGCATGTGTAGCTGGGACAACACAAAAGCACATGGCTCCTTTCAAAGACTGGCAGGTGAAGTGCTTGCAGGCTTGGGAACAACCAGAGAAAACAGGCTGAGGATGTACTCCCAGGAAACACAGACTTTACGGAAGCAGCAACACCAATGAACTTATCCTGGACCAAAACGTGGCCCGAGGAACTTCTGTAGGTGTGCAAGAGCAGGTCTCAGGACTCACATGACCTGCTTGCAAAAGCTCCTGCACACTCAAGGGATGGTGACAAATGGAGCCAGAAAGAGTGAATGCTCCCTGCACCTCTGCCTTGCTCTTCTGCAAAGCCTCCTGCTAACAGGGACCACACTAATGTGCCACCAGAGTCCTAGTTTCAGAGAGAATGGGTGCTCTTACCTCCTTTTTTAGTGCCTCGTTGGTGTCTCCATGCCCC